GAAATGTTTAGCCACAAGAAGATACATGGGAGGGGAAGGGGCAGCAGAGGGTGGGCGGGAGGGACTTAGGTAAAAAAAAAACTCCTAACAGGTACAACACTGAAAAGTTCTCTACTGAAAACAATGCTTATTACATACTGCATGGACACCTTGAAAAATACATTGTGTGCTATAGAGACAATGATCGAATGTACATAACAAATCACACACAAAAAAATTTCACAATAAAGAACCACCCCCCCCAATTTAGTACACTATTTCCAAAAAGCCAGGAAGTCTCTGTGTTCTAGAATTCCTAAATTATTTCTTTATATAGGGGGGAAATACTATTTTTAAGTCAGGGAAAAAAACCAGAAGCAGTAAATAAAATATGCTCAAACTTAGTCACCAGGTAGCAATAAGAAACCATTTTTTCACCCATCAATTGACAAAAAGAGCAAATATTCTCAGAATATTTATGGGAGGAGGGTGGTAGGTGGACATGACCATTTATTCTGGAGAATAATATGCAGTACCTATTAAAACTAAAAACACAGGTTTCCTACAGACCCAGCATTTTCCCCTCGGAATCTCCCTAGAGCATCATTTGTATAACAGAGCAGCGCAGGTAGACTCTGGAAGCATTCATTCGCTCAGTGAATGTCCACTGAGCACCTACACGAGGCCCGACCTCACACAGCAGAGATGCAGCAGTGGGGGAGACAGGAAACTGCCATCCCAGCGAAGGAGAAGTGACCGAGCGTGCTTGTCGGTGCCATGGACAAAGGCAGAACTGGGTTAAGAATCTGAAGGGCTCCATGGAGGAAGGGTACCTTTGTGTATCTTTTATAATAGTTAAATCCAGAAAAAAATGCCCAACATCAGGACAGCTAAAACTGTGGCAAACCCTCTCTTAATATGTATCACTTCTTTTTTCTTTTTTTTTCTTTTTTTGAGAGGTATTTGCTATAGAGTGCGTTGCGCTCACCAGAAAGACAAAAACAGACAGAGACAGAAAGCGAGAAATTACCCCCTGGGGGGATGGCCACGCCGCAATCCCTTCTCCATTCTCCTCTTGGGATCTTGGGCACGCACGCACACGCGCCCGGTGTGAGTTTAAACCACTGGGCCCAGGAATCACATCATGGTCCACTACATGGGAGTCCTGCGACATAGCCATTATGCCAACTGCTGGTCCCTTAATATGTATCATTTCTAAAGAGTATCATGGCTCCATTCAGATAGAAATGTCCAGACCAGGGCCACCCCACGGTACACTGGTTCGGCTCTGCATGGTATGAGTCAGCCCACATGGCTGACAGTGGTTAAATTCTAGGCCCAGTGGATCTAAACAACATGCTGGCTGTGGGTCCATGTGCATGCGGTCCCAAAGTCCTGGTGGGAAGCAGAAAGGGAAGCAAAAAGGATTGCAGCGTGACCACATCCCATCAGAGAGTACTTCTTTCTCTCTGGTAAAAGTGCATGCACCCTCTAACAACGTGTTTTGTTTAATATTCAGAACATTAAGTGAAAAAGTACAATTATAGTGACATGTATGATACGTTAATTATGTTTTCCTATCAGTGTCTAACTTAAATGCACTGTCGGAGAAGAGGCTATACGAGACCAATTCTTGAAATTTCTTACTTTACATGATAATTTTTTTTTAAGTTTTGCCGTAGGGCATGTGCACTGGGGTGGGGCTTGTGCAGGTATGGAGAAAGCACCCACTGGGAGGAAGGGTCACACCACAATCCCTTCTCCTCCATTCTCCTCTTAGAATCTTGGGCATGTACACATATGTGCCTACCATGTTTAAACTACCCAGGCCAGGACATGAACTGCACAGTCAGTCTCGTGGGTTCCAGCTACCATAACCACCACATCACCAACTGGCCCAGAGATGGTTCATTTTACACCTCAACTTGACTGGGTTAAGGGATGCCCAGAGAGATGGTGAGACTGTTGCTGTGTCTGTGAGAGTGTTTCCAAAAGGGATCGGTCTTGACTGAGCAGACTGAGGTGTACCTCACTAATGTGGGCAGCAACATCCCCTCCACGGAGGGCCTACCACACGGAAGGAGAAGGAGAACGCCAATTACCTGTCTCCTTGCACTAGGACACCCTCTCCTCCTGCCCTAACACTAGAGACCCTGGTTCTTGAGTCTTCAGAGTTCAGGATTTGACCAGCTGCAGACCCTACCCCAGCTCGTCCCACCTTCAGCCTTGGGTTGAGATTTATACTATCAGATCCCCTAGTTCTCAGGTTTTCCAATTCAGACTGAATTACACTGCCAGCCTCCCTAATTCTCCAGCGTGCAGGTGGTAGGCAGACCACCATCTCCACACACGCCGATCCTGTAATCAATCTGCTCTTATGCATCTACACATGCCCTACTGGCCCTGCTTCTCTGGAGAACCTACCCAACTTTAAGAAAATTCTGTTTGAACTAGAGTTACTTTTATGTGATACAAATAATTTTACCGGTATTCTTTTGGTTACTGTTTGGATGATATTAACTCATTAATTTACTCAAGTAAGAGTACGCCAGGTGTGATCAAGAGCGAGTCAGAGGCTAGGTGGCTTCCACAGAAGGCGCTGGGGAAAGGACTGTAGGCGATGGGGTGGCCTGGTAGAACAGAGAGGGGCTGGGAGTACCAGAGGGGGCAGCAGGGAGCAACTCCATCAATTTTGGCATTTGTTCTAAGGAAGATGGTTCTAAGCAAAGATAGAAATAGTATCTGATAACTCCTTTAACATGATAATCCGAACAGGTGGGAGGGAGCAGGTGCTCACTTGAAAGAAAATATCTGCAACATATACCAAAGGAGTACTTTAAGAATTCCTATGCAACTTGGGCCAATGTCATGGCACAGCGGTAGCAAGCTCTTCGAGAGACGCTGCATCCCACGTGGTAATCAAGGGTGGAATTCCCAGGCCCTGTCAGGCTGACACACACTGGGCATGCAGGACTGGGATCAGGGCTGTACTGTGACCAGACCCTGTGTGTGTGTGTGTGTGGGGGGGGTCCCTCTCTTTCTCACTTTGTGAATCTGTCCCTCATGTATGTGCATCCACTCAATCATGAATTTAAAAAAAATAATAACAGGGAACCAGCAGTTAGCGTAATGGCTATATCGCTGGACTCCCACATAATCGACCGCGGTTCGTGTCCTGGACCCAGTGGCTTAAAACTCACGCCGGGCGCGTGTGCGTGCGTGCCCAAGATCCCGAGAGGAGAATGGAGGAGAAGGGACTGTGGCATGACCATCCCCCCTGGGGGGTGATTTCTCGCTTTGTCTCTATGTCTCTCTCTGGCGAGTGCACGCGCCCTATAGCAAAAACCTCTCAAAATAGTAATAATAATAATAATAATAATAATAATAATAATAGAGGCCAGCAGGTAGTATGGTGGTTAAGGCACTGGATTCCCACGTGGCTGACCACAGTCTGAGTCCTGGGACTCAGTGGGGTGAAAATCACAGTAGGTGTATGTGCACGTGTGCCCCAAATCCTGAAAGAATGGAGAAGAGACTGCACTGTGCCATTCCCCAAGTGCGTGATTTTGATTTCTCACTCCCCCTCTTTCTGTCTCTCTAAGTACACACACCCTATGGCAAAAAAAGAAAAGAACTCGCGTAAGACATAAACAGTCCTACAGAAATGTGATTTGGGGACCAGCAGGTGGCGTAATGGTTCTATCACTGGAGACCCACGTAGTCTACCGCAGTTTGAGTCCTAGGTCCAGAAGTTTAAAACTCTTGCCAGGCATGTGTAAATTCTGAGAGGAGAATGGAGGAGAAAGGATTGTGGTGTGGCCATCCCCTCTAAGGGGTGATTTCTTACTTTCTAGCTCCTCTGTCTCTATCTTTCTGGGCAAACAGAACTATAACAAAAATCTCTCGAAGACCAAGAGCACAGGCAGTGAGGGAAGATGGTGGCCTACAAAGAGGAAACGGCGTGGGGGCTTGGCGGTGCAGGCGAAGAAGCCGAGAAGAAACGGAAAAGATGTTGGGGCGCCAGTCAAGCTGCGCGTGGTGGCAGAGGAGGTGGAGGAAGGAGAAAGATCGTATCTCGGGCCCTGTTTGCAAGGGCAAGTGGAAAAATAAGGAACAAATTCTCATCTTTTCTTCCAGAGGAATTAATGCAGGACTTGAGGACGCTGATGCCTCATTCTAAAGCGGATACTAAAATGGATCATAAAGATAAATTATTTGTGATTAATGAGGTC